ATGTCAGATCGGTGATCTCCACCATATCTTAGTCAATGTTTCGGGTTACAATTCCCCTTGCTGGTCTCAGATCGTTTCCCCGGGGTACACAATATCACTCAAATCTGAATAATGCAATTAGGATCGTAATCTCCTCGCTTTGAGCAGTTTCGCTGAAATTTCATTGTTGGTGACGTGTGTCACATTTCGGTCTTGCAACATGAAATTTTCCAACTCTGAACTTGTCCTCCGACTTACAGATGCAATGGCGTTCTTCACCGTACATGAGCCTGGGACCTCCGATGGGATCGATACGAGACAGCTTGAAATGATGCTCAGACAAAATGAAATGATGCTCTAACATCTTGAATTGATATCCGATCTTCTTGAAATGATATTCGGACGAAGTGAATTGCCTACGGTATAGTGTTTCCATTATTACGTTTTGATGTGTGAATGCACTCTTCCCGGTTTTGTTCCTACCTGAGTTTGTTGGGTGTGCACAGAAGTTTATGGTCGGCTAGGATTGAATCAAATGTACACTGCTTACGAAACTGATGAAATGTGAGACCCGTTCGATGATAAGGAGAGCTCCACTCAAATATGTTGGGGGTCGGGGGGGGGCACAGATGGAGCTATTGTCCAACACATGGAATATGAGAAGATACAGAGAAACCCTGGGTAAGTGGTAATCCATTGAACCATGATATATAGCAGAGCCCCTTAAACTGCCAAATTGTGATGTGGTATTGCTGTTGTTTGTGCTCCAAGTACGATTATAGCAAGCCCCCATATCTTAGCTTTTGCAATTATTGCGAGAGAGTATGCCCGAAAAGTGGTTATAAAGAGGTAAACGTTAAGGGTCGGTTGGCATTTGCCAACTGCACACATTTGTAGCGCCGTCACTACATCCGGTTGTCTGTGAAGGGTCGAGTATATGCTGCAGTAGTTCGGCCAGTACTGCTCTACGGTGTAGAGACTTGACCATTACGGGAACAGGATAAAAATAGATTGTCGGTGTTCGATGAACGCTGTCTAGGACGCATTGCGTTGAGTCAGATGGGGTAACCGGATGAGCAATGCTGACGTTAGGCGTAGAGTTTTAGGTAGTCGCGGTCGTCCACTGGAGCAAGTGATCGATCTCCATAGGTTAGATGGGTTAAGGCCTGTGTAATACGATCATACTATTCTCCAAACGGATCCGGATCATTTGGCACCGCTTCAGTACCATTTCGGATATCTGCCTACAGAAACTCTTGCGCGGATACTGACCGACAAAGATAGTGTTTGTTTTGAGCGTTCTAAAGCTTTCAGTAGTTAATTCACACTTCTGCACATTCGATGTCCAATTTTTTCCCTTTTTGCCGGTATTGTAACGATGGTTTCTTTTTGAATGAAAATTACTATATAACTCGCTAAAGCATCAATACAATACAGCATATATTGCCCCTCAACCCCGGTTCAGACATTTGAATGCAGAAAAGTGGATTGGCAACGTGAAATAAGTCGGTTAATGGTGAAACACCGAAGGAAGTACAGGGGTATGTCACATTGCATTGTTCACAATGCTGAACCTACACAAAAACTAGGCGAGCAAATAATTGTCTAAGGAACTAGTAGTGCCTGGCCTGAGATCGACACAACATACAAATACTCAGACGAACATGCGCACACAAATCCATGAATTTTGTAGGAGTCAAAAAATGGACACTGCTAGTATGCCATTCAAACAAGGGAGAGATGCGATGCCTATCAAAATCGTACGGCCCGCGACAAGGAAGTTACGGGCAAACAAGGAAAACAGGGGAAAGGTAGGTGTTCGAAGGGATGTGTGTGTGTGAATTAACAGAACGCGACATCGTCAACGAGAGAGGGAATACGAAAACCAAAAATAAAATAAACCAAGTTAATAAGACGGGACAGAATAATAATGCCACGAATAATAAAGCACAAAAACGGTGGAATAGAAGAAAACAAGCAGCACCGTTCTGAACCTCATTGTATTCATCGTGGATATACGGAAAAGGTTGGGTGTCTTGGTAAGTGAGTGGTTGTATTTTTTGTGTGCATAAGTAGGCTGAGATTGACTGAACACTCAAGGTCACTTGTAGAACAGTGAGTAAGGGGAATTAAACTGATAGACGACCAACGCGAACTCCCTGATAAACGAATGATGAACAAAGATGGTATAGACTGCGTGGACGATGACGATGATGACAACAATGCTATTGTTTTGAAGAGACACTCACTGGAGAGGGAGCAAGATAAGGAGACCATGTCACGAAAGAGATTCCTTACAGAGAGACAGATGCTTGTATTATTAGGGAAGGATGAATACACATATGCGATTGATTAACGATTAGATTTTGTACAGGCTGGCGCTTTTATGTCACACGATTGCATGTGAGTAAGCAAAGAGAATTAAAAGATGGTGATTGATCCACGAGGGAGATAAATCTTCGAACAGATAAAGAGGTATGTTGTGTTGCGTACGTGAATAAAAAAATAAACCTACATAGAACAAAAAATCCAAACTTGCGGACAAGACAGTGGGGAACTTAAAACCAAGCCACTCTATAGATTACTTAATTCTCATTGCATCATATGAATGGTTGATTGTTCGATTCCACAAATCAGTGAAATGGACAGAGTACCGTGTAGAGCAGACACATAACCCCCCGTTATGCCCCGGGTATCGATGATAATGACTAAATTTAACGGCGAGATGACGTGGACACAGTGGGTTCGGAGTGGAAGTTAGCGGGGATGGATGCGTGCGCGCGCGCACGCTCACAGATAAAGGAGAGACTGACAGCCAAAAAATAGTGATGCTTAAAGTCAACCAGTTGTGATTGGGGTTCCAATTATACCCATTGGTCTGAGAACTGGATACGAATGCCTGGTTTGCACCCCAATGGTGCGATGACGTTTAGTATGAAAGACGGAAAGTGGAAATTGGATGTGCTCGGTGAAAGCGAAACCATATGGACAGGTAGAATATGTCCGGCTGACCAGAGTAGGATACGCAACGTCTGAATGCGTTCGCATAAACGACGGCTGACGATACTGAATCTGTCGGTGTAATTGACTTTTACGGAGGAAAAGTTTCATACTAAGGTGATCACTGAAAAATAGATAAGCGAATAACACAGGTAATACACGGGAAAAGAATGAGAGGTAGGCGAATCAAGGTGTGCAGTTTGGTAAGAAAAGTCCCTGAATTCTACTCATCATCGTCATCATAATCAGGATTATCATAATTCTGATCATCATCATCGTTGTCAACATCATCATTATTAATGAAATCATTGGACTGATTCTAAACTTCCACGCTCGATTTTCGGAGTGGTATCATTTGAATAGGTGTCCACTGGTGACATATTAATATCTGCTCGATACTGTGCATCGAACTCCTTCACGAAATGATAATCCACTTTTGCACAATAGGGACATGTGATCAATTGACTATATTGACTGAAAAACGGGAACGGACAAGTCACACCACGACCTTGTTCGAGGACGTTCTCTTTTTCCGTATGCACACCCGGAGTGGAGAACCGTTCGTGCCCGTTCAAATCAGCCTGATTCGTGGTCGATGTGGCAACCAGCTGACGACCGCAAGCGTTACACTTGAGTCGATCGGGACAGCAGGGCCAAGCGGCAAGCACATCATAGGTGTACAATCCACCGACCAGTAAACCGGCGCCTGAATTAAAAAGAAGGCAAATAGTGCAACAAAACCATAAAGACATTGGCGAAGCAAATTGTAGTACTTGCAACTCTTGGTAGGTCCATCATGATTACCTATTCATACACTCGAAAAAATAAGGTCATTCACACCAAGGCATGATAATAATAGTAATAATAATAATAATAATAATATCACCGCGCACAACAACGCGGATATCGAATATGATGTCCAGATGATAGATATGGAGGAATAACACCTTAAGGCATTTATGGTTGGTGCTGATTTGGGACAGCGGTGGTCGAGCAGACTAGGTCCCGGAGTTCACCTGTTTAAATTCTGTTACTGTCATCAATGCTATAGGATCAATCGCTTCCCCCTTCCAAAAAATCGACAATAAACGAAAGTAAAAAGGTGGTTGAAATACGGTCTAAGTAATTCCATGTGAATTTACAGGCAGAGTAGTTTGCTTATTTCTGTTTATTCAGCCATGCGCTACTGGTATTGACGGTCGACCAGGTCCCTCAGCCGTTAAGCCTTTAGCTGTCAACCGGAAGGTCCACGGTCAGGGTCCCGTCTGTGACGTAAATATATTACGCCCTGCTAATGAGTTTCCATAAGGACGAAACAGTTGTCCAATGCTCGGTGTTGACTTTCGCACAAAATTTACGCATGAAAAGGATATCATTATTTTTATCACCATTACGATAGGTCAAGCTCTATGAAGTAAAAAATGGACTAATAAAATGTAAGCAAGCGTTTACGAATCGTTTAGTGCTACGTAACTAGTTGGATCCTAACCCAAATGACTTTCTCCCAAATCCACCACTGACTAACTTCACGTTTGATGCCGACAGAGTGAACTCAAAGCTTCTGGGTCTACGTAAGTATTCGGCTCCAGGTGCAGACAATCTACATCCCCAACCGTTTATTGCGTCAGCGGATCACATATCTGAGCCGCTAGATTTTCTTTTCCAAAGGACGTTTGACGCAACCGTGCTGCCCCAATCGTGGAAACAAGACGTAATTTCTCAAAGGCGGCTGCCGAAGTGATCCTGCCAACTACCGCCCGGTGACACTCCTACCCGTTCTACTCAAAGTCATAGAATCCATCGTAGCAGATTTCTTGATGGAACACTTAGAGAAATACGACCTACTTTCTCCTGCTCAGCATGGATTCCGTCAAAAGAGATCATGCACTACTAACCTGCTCCTGGCCCGCGATGACTGGACAAAGGTAGTAGACAAAGGTGATGCAGTTGTGGTGGTTTATCTGGATTTCTCCAAAGCATTTGATCGGGTGAAACCTTAAGATACTGGTCCGTAAACTGTACAATTTTGGTATCAGAGACCTTGCACTTGATTGAGTTGCTGCGTTTCTCCAACAACAGACCATGTCGGTTCGAGTCTCTAATTCACTGTCCGCCGTTTCCTGCAGAGTCCCCCAGGGATCTGTGCTCGGTCCGCGACTTTTTTCTTGTTCATAAACGACTTATCGAATGTCCTAGGACCACAAACATCATTGTTTGCAGACGACTTCAAAATCTGGAAGACAGTGACAGAAAGTAAGGGTTCGTTGGAACTCCAAGAAACACTGAATGAAGCTCACAAATGGTCTATTGAGAACGAGATCCAATTTAACGCCTCCAAATGCAAGGTGATTTCGCTACGCCACCTTATTTTCTCGGAAAAGAACTACTGCTGTATGCATCAACATAGGATTTGAGTGTTATAGTCCACGAAGACCTGAGCTGTTCTATTAACTGCGCCAGGGTGTCATTAACAGCACTCAAACATGTCGGTTTTTGGTCCTTTTGAACCATCCTTATTCCCACGTCTGCTGTTAGCATACATACATCCGGTCGCATATTGGGTATGCCATCCAAACCTGGAACCTACATTTGCAAAGTGATCGTAAGATTTTGGAGCGTCCACAAAGGCTCATCACGAAGATGGTCACAGGACTCTGATTCATACATGGGGAAACTGCAGCCATTAGGCCTGTACTCTGCTCAGTAAGGTCAGACTCGGGAGACTTGATTTTAGTGTACCAAATATACACAACCCAAACCACCCCCGTCACCCAATTTGATGTTGTCATCAAACGTTCATCTACGGGGACATCCATTCAAGTTACTACTCTAAAAATCTCGACTGGACTGTCGACGTTATTCCTTCGCCGTCAGAGTGTGCACTGCCTGGAATTCCTTACCATCTCATGTCGTTTGTGCCACGATAAGTCATTCATTCCAGGTAAAACTTGACGGATTATTAACAGACATTACATTCCAATATCCATGAGCACATATAACACAACCGAATACNAATTTTATTCATCATTGTTACAGTTCGTTTTGTGTAAACACTCTATGGGACAATAAAACCATCCGCTTGACTTTGACTTACCGGACCAAGGACTAAGGCACGATCGGCAGAATATACCCCCAAATCTTCCCCCGACAGAATCTGCTGTTCGATTATCCTCGTTCTCTGAGATTCCATGATGCATGCAACCCATACATAGGGCATGCAAATATCGTTCCTGTCGACCGGCCCCGTGTCTTCCAGTTGCCGCATTATGATGATTCTGAAAATGTGAATGCTGATGGAGAAGCTGCCCTGAAATGTTTCCCTCGGGACTCCCATGATTCCCTGTCACTTGCTGGCGAGGACCTAAACAACCCGGTGGAGGAACAATGGTCATTCCGTTGCCCAGCAGTTTCTGTATCAACTCTTGAGACATCTCCTCCGGATCAGCATTGGCTCCAGTCTGCTTTGGCTGTTGAAATGCGCTCGGTACACCATTCGTGTGCCAAGTAATACGAAGACCATTGACCGTATGACGACTGTACATGTGGGTGGATCGATGACACACTGGACTGATGAAGAATATTCCATCGACCACGGGAAAATGGTCGTAGACAACCAAGAGTTGATGGCATGCCAAACAGGGTACCTCAGAGATTCTATGGTTGGTCAGCTGGGCCAGTAGGAAGGCACGAGTATCCTCATTCCCTGTGCAACTGTCATCGTCCATTTGGATAAAATATGCGTTTCGTTTATGGGCTGGTAATTTCTAAACAAGAGAAGAATGAGACAGCTTTTCATTCAGAAAAGAAATAGATTACTGCCGTGGCTTCACTCATTCCCCTTTCACGTGAGTTATTTAATAATATCAAAACTGTAAGGAGTTGTCGTTTAGTAGAGGGCATTGATCGGAGAAAATCGAGTCATCCCCGCAGTAATAATGCCCATGGGGGAACAGGGTGTCCTTCTGACCACTAGGTGAACGAAACACTTGTCAACCCCATAGAGAGCAACACTCTATCTGCAAAGCTGTATTTCTCCAAGACACAGAGACACCCGAGCGGCGATATCAGAAAAAACCTCCAAGATACCTACATCCTCGTACGGTATTTTCCTTCGGTAGTTTACTTTTGTCAAGACCACCTATCCGCCAGTTTGCAGCATGTGAAAATTCCACCAAATCCTTCATCTGAAAGCGGATCGGTATCAAGGCATGCTTGACCATACATAAGGAACCAAAAAGCTTCATAGGCCTGTACATCGTTGAATGAGGGCAATAATATCTTATCGAATGAAAGCACTCAGTATTGGCCTCGATCATGTGGAAAGTATGATAAGCTGTTACATAGAAATTTCCTACGCAGAAATCAGATGCATAAAATCTACTGGGCTCAGAATTCTGATGAAAACACGAAACCAGTACAGGTAATGATCAAAATTGGGTAACACCCTTACTTTCATTAGACTTGTTCCTGTTAACACTTAGCGTTTCGAGTCTCATGCACCGGATTGAATATGATACTGCACCACCATCGGAAGCAACATATCTGTAATGATATTCCATTAGTCTAATGCCACTAAAATGTATAATTACTCGACTTCGACGACGGTTACTGATGCAGTAGTTGTAAAATAACAAAACCTCAGTAAAAGTTATCATTAAAAATCATTCATAAAAATGGTTCGTAGGCCTGATGCCATTATTATGTTATGTTTGCTCTTTTAATTTTTGAGCACTGCAGTCAGTCTGTTTTGCAGGGAGTCCAGCAAGTTGACTGTAAAACAGCCTTTGCCAGTTACCCCTAATACATGCCGCACTCTGGCCACTGACGACCTGCCAGGGGAAGCCTAACCTTCCCCTGAGAATCCTCGCGGTTCGAATTTGCAATGGATTGGGATCAGCCGCCGTCACCGGGAAAACGTGTCGGCGTTTTCTCGACGATCCTGGATACGTAGTCGTCATAGTAATGAATAGAGAACGGTAAACTAGTTTGTGCAATCTCTGTATCGGTGTCCACGTAACCCCGATACCGGACAGATGACTAAACTGTGATAAACCCCATACATACCACACGTTTCTCCTTTTTCAATCTACGTTCGGCTAGCGCTGCCAATAAGGATTTGCACTGTTTGCAACTGTCTTTCAACTGGGATCGCGTGGGATACGCATCGTGGGATCAAGTTCAATGATGGTTTGGTGAGCCACAATACGACCACAGTCCGGATAGCTTACCTATCCCTGTTTCACAGCAGGTTCACAGCAAGTTTTAGATGACATTCAAATCCCAAACTGCTAGGCAGTAACTGAATGAATTCGACATTGGACTTGACCGATTCAGAAACTGCATAAATGTGAAAAAACCGGGGTATGATGTTTACACGTTTTCTACGACCAACCTCGCGCGGGATGCGATATTAAGCTTAGGCTGAGAAAATTCAGTTTTGTAAATGCACTTCGATGGTGACAGTTATCGAAAACCTGCCTTATTAGTGCAACGAATTTCGTGCTACCCAGAGTGGCATATATGGGAGGCCAAAAACACGGCGCACATCCAGTTCGGCCATGTGACACTACAAAACGCCTATCCAACGAGTCACACACCTCAATATCAACTTCTGAAGGTCAATTTTGATCTATTAGACTTTATTTCTATTTCCTTCAAGATGAGGGATTTTTTGAGTGGTTTGTATCCAAATAATTTATCAATTTATTCAAGCTAGAAAATTGTCATTATTCGTTTCATTTTCTTTTCACTGAATGAAAAAAATATAAGCCATTTAGAATACGTGTATTTAGTAGAATAAACACCTTTATGAAACAGTAATCATTTATTAGAAAGAATGAGCTTCCACGTTGCTTTGCATATATTTCGTAATTCTGAGCTGTAACTTTCGAACTACTACAAATTTTATCGCGGCGCTCAAGGTTCAAACGATGATACCAAAAAATTCAGAACACTGCAGTGGCAGATAGTAATTCGGAATAGATGTTCTACACACAGCTACCGATGTATAAATAGGAGACTGGAAAATGAAATCTATTCCCGAAATCGGAGCCATGTTGCACGAGTTAGATCATACCTGTGGTTGATGGTGAATCAGAACGAGGGTACTGTGTAGTGGAAAGATGGAGTGCATAGAAAGCATCTTGACCCGGTCTGACCAGACTTGACTTGTCATGTGTGAACACAACTCGCGATTACCGATCTACAACTTGTATGTGCTTCTATCCAAACACCGAATTTGGCAAATGGCCGACAAAATGGTGTGGACAAAGAAGAACGGAAATCATGAGGCAAGAAGCATTCGAATTCACTCACACTGTTATTGCAATAAAACAAAAAAATGAATAGGAGATATTTCGCGAGTTCATCTCGGCTGTGAACTTAGATTTTTGTTTTCCCAAGTTGAACTGTTCTATCCATAAGCTCAATGAGAATTTACTTATCAAACTCATGTTTCCCACNCCCAAGCAAACAACTGATAAATCTTCACTCTGCCCCTGTTGATCGCGGAAAAGAATGACTACTTATGAACCTTCTGTTCCTCGACCCTTCCCCAGGTGGATTACCTTTTATAATACACATTGAATCTGGCACACAGTTATCGAACAGGACACGTGATGTAATTCACCAGGGCTGATTAATTCACAGCAAAAATGCCACCTACTACCAACTAGCGAAGGCACTTTAACAAGAGAGAGTTTTTCACACTTCTACATCTCTCCTAACGTTACTGAAAACATCTCGTTCCGAAATTTAATGCACGATAAGGGCTTTGGGAGTGTACAAACTGGAAAGCCTCGGCGATTAGTTAATCTTTCTGCTAGCTCCATCACAACCACATGTGAAGGAGCAACATGACTTAAATCCGGTGGTGAGCGACTTGATCTGTGGATAACCTCTGACTGAGAGGAGCAATGGGTTAGAGAGGTATTTACAAAGATAGGTTCGTTGCAAGTATATCAGTGAAAAGTCAAAGACCAAGCGGCGATTAACGCCATTGGGTTTGAAAGCGTGATTGTGCTACGTCCTTAGTTTATTTAATAAAGCGGTGGTATTCAAAGGGTATAGGTCAGTATCACAGCAGCCTGAATGTCGTATGTGTTTGGATCCCAAGACCACTGCCGTCACCATCGCCGCCCAACTTTCCCCCACTTCTCGAAGTCCCCAGGTAGCCTTTTATTGGCTGCAAACCTCTTCTTGAAAATCGCTGAGACCGTTGTATAAAATAAAGTATTACTATCATCGTGGTTAATGGGCAAGCAATGCAAGTAATAGAATGGTAGAAGAACAGTAGCTACCGGATCATGAGGCCTCCTTCCTAGATTTTGTGATAATCTAACCAGCTTTCAATATTCCTCTGGTTTTGTGACAAAACAAAATGTTGGAATGCTTCGAAATCACACAATGAGCATAAATGCAGTACAATGATCAAGGAAACATGTAGCATAGCCATCCACGGAGCTTAACCTGTGATTGGCTATGCTAAGGAACAGATTCACAGAGGCATTGCGAATCGAATGCTATCTGTGGTAGACAAACTTCGTTGCAGTGGAAAATCAGGTAGAGAAACAAAACCTTTTAATCACAAGCTTGTTCTAAGAAAACAAGCGAAAATATGACAACAAAATCTATTCATCGCAGAGGCAATCAACTACAATTGTGTACAGGGATGTGATATTCCGTCACTACAAACGTTCAGCAGTTTTACGATTCATGAAGCGTCGGACATTTAATGATTCGGCCAACCAGCTATCGCATTCACTGAGCTTTTCAGAATCAACCTGTGACACAGCATGGCTATCGATTAAACGGTAAGGTAAGCTCGTTCAGTTTTGTGTCTAATCATGGGCATGGTTCGAGATTTGCAATGAAATTGCAATGACCCATTTCACGGTGCACCATAACGGCAGTGAACATATCACTTTAACGTGGGATGACGAGCTTTGTGACACCACGAATGAATCAGTTAGAGCACCGAGCTCAAGCAGAAGGCCTGTGAACACCAGTCGCCCCTTCAGTCTACGCATCATTCTTCCTTCTTCTTACCGCGTGACCATTAAGCCCAACACGGTCTCCCAAACCCACTCGGGTGGTCTATATAGTGTGTGAACTCGTTTGAATGAGTCACTCGGCCAGTCTCATTGATCATCATGACCCAATCCATTCCACCCTCCTATTTACCCCCACTCCGACCGGGGCGCTCATAGATGAGGTTGAAAGGTTGAAAAATAGTGACGGATGGCGTACGCACACGTGCGAGTGTTTGCGTGAGCGTGGTCCTGCTGTTACGCCAGACATGCAGGATACGGTTAGTCATCAATCCAGGACCTGTCCACGCATGGCCGCGTCATCGTTCATCTAAGGCCATGGTAGTGTGGGGCTGTGAGAGGAGAGATGGGGGACGGATGACGGACGGACAGTGTGAAATTGTACTTTTACACAAGGAAGCAACGTGGCTGATGGTTTGGGATTGACCCAGTAACCTGGCTTGGCGGGATGAGCCTTTTTTCTTGGACTGCGTAAGCAGTTGTCTCGATTTGTGGAACAGGACAGAATGACGCATAATATCCGGGTTTGACCGAAAGCGGAAACCCAGTAGTTACCACTACTCAAGTTGAATTGCCCATTCGTTCGCCTACAAATGTCGAACAACAGATTAACCTCTCAGTGAAAACCAGAAGTATAAATATCAGAATCGAGTCCCACACTTATCGTTTCAAAGATGGGGAATGTGGGTGAAACGGTCACGGAGTTGCATGCGGAAAGACGGATAACCTGCATAGTGCTTCGCGGGGCGATAGGAACCAGGCAGTTTCAATCACTAAACAGATCGGGGTTGAATGGGAAAAAGTGATTCGTCATGCAATATCAACGTGTCACACTGCTTTTACGCGACTAGCTCTTGCGAAAGGACAAGTTGGCTTATTCGATGTCTCGTGTAGCTGTTCTCCACATGACAAGGTCAAATGACGCTACAATATCAGTGACTGAGGTCGGACTGCTAGCAACAGCCTATGACAATTTGCTTCACGCCCCAGAGAGGGAATCGCGTCTTCTTGCGGTTCCTTCGATGCACCTTATTGCACACCTGCACAAGGGCGTAATCACAACCGTTGGTGTTTCTTATTCCTGTAACACAACAAATGATGAAGCCCATCGAGACCGCACCAAAATGCGCAGTACTATCGTTTGTCGCCATCGTTGGTAAACCATGTTCTTGAGTGTCCTGGGGTGCATAAACCCATTGTTCGTGACCATCGGTCAGTTGAAGTCCGCAAATGTGACCAAATTTCATCACTGGCATATCTCACTTGGTAAGCCAAACCATGACGGTTGTACTCATTTGATGGTATAATGGGTATGTGTGTGTGTGTGTGTATTTCAATCATCTGCATTTGACAGTATGACTATAAAAATTCTTCTTTAATTGCGGCGTCAGCTGCCAGAGTTGGTGCAAATGTGAATGTGAAAATGCCTGTCACGTCGATTCTGGACGGGAACGGATTACATGGCATCTTAGCTTTGCTGGTTTCATTATTCTCGTTAACCGCCGCTACGCCATTTGATCTCTTCTGTAGTATATCCACGAGGCTGCGTTCGCTTGAGGCAATTTGATTTTTACAATATCTAAGTGCTGTATAAGTACTTCCTATTGGAAAGTAATATCTAATCCATAGTTGTGAAGCAATGACATAGTGGTACATTGACTACTGCTTTCTATTCGGGTTCTGACGTTCCGCATACTATGTGCATACTGTTTCGAGTTCGAAAGTTCCCAGCTCAGTGAGTGAACAGCTTGGTTGCTGGGGGAGCATAGGCCGCGTCGCTTCTTGGGGACGCCGTAACATAAGCATAACGAGTTTTGGACTGAGAATCCATGCATAAACGTAAGAACAAATTATGTGAGAAGTGACGCCCAAGCGTCGATTGTTTATTGT